GACTGTTCTTTCCTAAGACACTGCTGGACTTAAGATTAGAAGTCAGTAGAAACGGCAGTAGAACTGCCTTTGGGTTTGAAAACTCTTGATGCTTCCATTCAAAACTGCTGGCTGTAGCTGCTCATCATCAAAATGAATCATCAACATGAAATGCATCCAGCTTGAAACCAAAGTTGATGTTTACTATCTGTCCAGGTTTGAGGTCTTTAGTGAACCTACAGAGCAGCCATCCTGGAAGCTGTCTGGACATACCTAAGAGGATAATCTTGAATTTGAGATTGACCAAATTGATATAAGACTTTTGATCTTGCAAATTGCAACACACAAATATTAGAAATTACTTTTAGCCTTAAATATTAATTTACGGCAAATGGTTGCACCTTCCTCAGCTTGGTGCTTCTTATTGTTGTTCCTGTACTGCATGTATTGTTAATTTCATTCAAATGAAAGCAGTTGAGACTGATTAACAACCCCTTCTGTTACTTAACTGACCAGATCAATATCTCACAAGTTTTACTGGCTTAATACCAAACTCTGATCACTGTTACTTCATTTATTTGAGCAGTGCACTATATTGCCATTTACATTTGCACACATTTCAGTATATCACTGCAGCTATTTACTATCTTCCTAGAAAAATATCAAGAAATGAAGGCTGATTCAAGACTTTTGCACAGCACTGTAGGTCTCACAGGGTTAAAGAAGTTAGAAAAGCTCCTTCACTTCATGGCTACAACCCTTGAACCGGCTGTCTGATCTGTTGGTGGGCACAGAGGGGGTGTCACTCATTTTTTGTGACATAAAATGTCGATTTCTGTATTGACTTTGTGTGAATTAGAGCATGTAAATATTTTTCAACACATAAATCACATGAGCAGCTTGGACAGTCAACAGAGGAAACATAAATGAGTTGGGAAAAATGCAGAAAGACATTTATTTATGCACATTCTAGGATCCCATCAATCAGTAAAATGAGGCCAGATCACTAGAGAGCGACTGCTGACTGATGGCTGTGTCACTGTTTAGATGTGGGTCAGAATAAGCAGCCATCAGTCACTTCAAGGGAGACAGAACCTGGAAAGTCAGGCAGTAATGTTAAAGTCTGTAAGCTCAGATCGTAAAAGGTGAAAGAGTCTTTCTGTTCAAGGGGATAACGTTGGATTTTACTGGTAATACCACCGCGAATGGAGCAGATTATGATGTGGATGTTGTTGCAGTGTATGGATGTGAGCAGAGAGAAGAGGGAATAAAAATATGGGTATTTAAACTCACCCTGGACAGGACGACCTCTAAGGTGATGTTTTGTGGAGGAGCGCTGGGTACTGCAGAGACAAATGTAAAGGAAAGGAAAATGTCAGGAAAACAAACAATGCAACATATAAATCAATACGAAAAAACAACAATAGCTCTAATGATATTATTTATTAATAAAAAAGGAAGCCACTATGGAGAAAAAGTGTATTTCTGGTTGTACATTCAAACATGACTTTAAACTTTAAAATGTAACATGCTGGTTCAGTCCTGAATATGCAAACAAATCTATGCTCCTGCAAAATGACAACTACACATGTACATGCATGAATAGGAACGCTATTAATATTTAACGTAAAAAAAAGTTTAATTTTTAATGCTACTTTTACATTGTTATGGCTGCAATAATGTAAAAGGTCTGAAAATTACACATAACAAACAGAGCTTTAGAAAGTTAGATTTGATTTATTTCTATTTTCTGTTTTGTTGGAAGTGACACGCACGAGGACAACAGGAAGAACAGAGAGAGGATTCATGAATGTAGTGACGAAGGACAGAGACGAATACTACAGAGATTGGAAGAAAAAGACAATTTTCTCATGGTTTTGTGGCTATAGTAAGATAGAACACATACTGAGATCAAATGTTTTTAACATGACTGCTTAAGTCCTTCTAAACCTTTTACTTGTTAAAAATTTGTTTTATTTCCTAAAAAAACGAAACCAGAAGAAGCAAAGAAGGTGAAGAAGAAAAAGCTACAAAAAATAACAAAGGCAAAAGTAAAACATATATATACAAACAAGGGGGAGGGGGGGGACCAAAGTGAACATGATGGTCACAGGGGAAAAATGGGATGATGATGAAAGATGAAGAAAAAATACAAAAAAGAAGATATTGGGAAGAAAATGAAAGAGTAAGCATGAAGATCAGAAGATGAAAAAGAATGAAACATAAGAGCTTTTAAGTTTAGAGAGGAAAAAACTTGGTTTTAGTACATGAAAGCACAAAAAAAGATGAAGAGGAAGATGCAAAGGAAAGAAAAATAATCAAACAAAGAGGAGAAAGCTAAAAAGAGATCAAACAAAGACAAGAAAAAATGAATGGATGAAATAGGAAGACAAACACAAACTGGAGGAGCTCCACCTCCCGAAGTTTCGTGAAATTTGGCTCCAAAGTTCTTGTGTAATCTTGCTAACTGACTCACAGAGAGACCAAAAGCACTGAAAAACACCAGAATAAATGGAACACAAAAGAGAGGATGGTGGTGAAGAAGAAGAGATGAATGAATAATAGAAGAGAGAGTTGACAGACTTCTAGAAAAAGCAGCAGATGTGTTTTTGTGTCCAGCAAAAGTGCAACATTGGTTTGAGTGAACTGTCCAATCAGATGCCTGATTAACTGTCAACGGCTTATCTGTTGATTCAGCTGCTCGCTATTTATGTCTGTGTGTGTGTGTGTCTTCCAACGTGTGTCTATGAATCAGTTTTATTGTAAATTCAATTAGCCCACAAGTCACCGTTATCATCGAGACGCAGCCGGAAGATTCACAATACAGCCGCTCTGCATCTGCAAGTGTGTGTTTGTGTTATTTCAGATCATTTTTATGGTGTGACTGCAGCTGGACACACGCCTCCGTTCTCTCTGCCTCTGTGGAAGTTTATTAATCACAGCGTCCCTCTCAGCACACCCATCAGAAGCTGAATGTTGCATTGATATTAAAGGACTCAGTCTGTGTAGAAAATGTAAAGCACACTGTCCTACCATGCAAAAGCTAGGAATAATAGCAGGAGAGTATAGGGAGCCAGAGTGAAACTAGGACTTCTGAAACCTCATTCAAGACCCCTTCAGAACTATAGTTTAGAACCATTTGAAATGGATTTTCAGTAATGAAATTATAATTTAAATGCAGTTAAAATGTGTGACAATCATCAGATGTCAGATTTGTTTGCAGAGTGTGGCTAATATTAGCAGTGCTAGCACCAGCAGCATTTTTTCTCGGAGGGAAATGTCCACACAGCTTTTTCAATATTCAACTTTGGTTGGATAAGCATAAGTCGAGTGCTTACATGCCAGTGAGTCCATTACAATTTAAACAATCATACCCACGAGGGCTAATTACTGGACCTCAAGCTAATAATGTATTCCCTTTCTTCAGGCCAAAAGGTGCGTATATACTTAACAGATACTTCACTGAGAAACCTTGCTAGTGCCAGATTAGACCCCCTGATGGCTTCGGACCTGCATTAATTTTTCATGGTACACACATGAAAGCATCACATTGTTTCTGCAGATTTTCCGGCTGCATATCCATGAAGTGAAACTTTGCTCGCACCACACCTCAAAGGTGCTCTATTGGACTGGTGACTGTGAATTCCCGTAATTAAAACCAAATAGAAACTAGTTTGACATTATGCGACCTTTGCTACATGGCATGTTATCAAGCTGATGAGTACACTGTGGTCATAAAGGGATTAACATGATGAACATATTCCCAAACACCATTACACATTCACCAGCAGCCTAAAGTGCTGATACATGGCAGGATAGATTTAGGCTTCCATGTTGTTGGTGCCAAATTCTGATCCCATGCTAGGGTCAGAGTGTCACATCAGACCAGGCAACCTTTTTGGACTCTACTATTTATCATTTTTGGTGAATCGGTGTGAACTATAGCATCATTTTCCTGTTCTTATACAGAAATGGCACCCAGTCTAATCTTGTGTAGTTCTGCTTCGAGGTTTGATGTGTTGTGCGTTTAGAAATGCTCTTGTGTATACCTCAGTTGTAATGAGCGGTTATCTCTGTTACTATTACCTTCACTTCTGCTCGAAGCAGTCTGGCTATTCTCCTTTGGCCTCTCATACCAACAAGGCGTTTTCACTCAGACAGTCACCACTAACTGGAAATGTTCTCATTATTCGGACCATTCTCTCTTAACCCTAGTGATGGCTGTGTAGGAAAATCCCAACAGATCAGCAGTTACTGAAATCCTCAATCCAGCATGTGTGGCACCAATAATGTCAGACTCAAAGTCACTTCAATCGCCTTTTTCCCCATCCTCATCCTCAGCTTGAATTCCAGCAGCTGGTCTTGATTTTGTCTACATCTCTAAATGCTTGAGGTTGCTTAAACCCAAAGTTGACATCAACTGATGTACAATAAAAAAAATATTAGTTTAAGTGACTAGTCTTTCTGAGGGCAACTAGATGTGGACATGCCTAAACCTATGCTGAGTACTTTGTAATAGTCCAATTTTTCTTATGTCTACCAAGTGAACAATCCACACTGAACAATCCCTTTTCACCCTGAGAATGTCTAGTCTGATGTATTTATCTAGTCAAGTGTCCACTATTTGTAGGCCACAAACTCTTTAATAGTATCTGTGATAACATATTAGGCTCCCAGTGTCACCCACTGACATTTCACTCCCTGTGTCTGTAGTGGGCAGTGAAAGGTCAAATTAATCAAATCAGTGATTGTAAAGAATACGTCAAGGCTAAGGCTCTTGGATTTTTATGTGGTAACATTAAAATAAGATGTGAGATATGAGGATTTTGTCAGACAATCAGCGAGTAAACTAGTGCATGCAAGTATACGTTTCTTGAATCTATTTCTTTTCCTACGTTTTCTCTGAGTATTTTCATGACTTATGAACTTCCTCGTTTCTTCCTCCTTTCTGCGCCACACATGACGAACTTTAATACTGAACCATGTGAAAGAGAAAGTGTGTGTGTGTGTGTGTGTGTGTGTGTGTGTGTGTGTGTGTGTGTGTGTGTGTGTGTGTGTGTGTGTGTGTGTGTGTGGACTCCATTTAATGTGTCAGGCTAAAAGGAGGTTTAAATGAAGCTGCTCCTTCTTCTGCCTACTTAATTAAAGACCCCCGAGTCTCCTAATGAAACTCCTGACAGCAAGAAGGGGGGCTGTCTATGAGAAGGGCTAAAGACTGTGTTCCTATTGGCTCTTCTCTCGGTGTCTTTCTCTCACACACATATACACAGTGCCAGGTAATAGACACCACCTCGCCCAGCAGTTTTCAGATCTAAGTTGAAGTGCTGCTTGAAACTAGGACCAGTTCAAACCAGTCAGACTGCACAAGTCACTCTTTAATATTCTGGACTCCTTGTGGTTAAGGATATTAATAACATATTAATCATGTCTTCAAATCATCTCAAATTGGTTTCTTGAACACGACACTGTACTCAAATGGCATCTGCAATCACCAGATCCCAATCTAATAGAGCACCTCTGAGATGTAGTGAATAAAGAGATTCAAATCTGCTGCAACTGTTCGTCATGTTCATGTCTGAGGAATATTTCTAGCACCCTGTTGAATCTGTGCCATGAAGAATGAAGGAAAAAGGCGGTCCAACCCAGTACTAACAAGCTGTACTTTATAATTTGGATGTTGCTTCAGGGTCTGAAAAGTGAAACTGCTGTGTCTTAAAATGAGGTCTGGTTATCTTTCGCTGATATAGTCGTCAGAATCGGGATCAGAGTCTAGATTGTTTCAAAAATAGCATGACATTAAAGATGTAGTCACTTTGTGTGAGCTAAATGTGGTGGTTATGGTTATGTGACTAAATATATTCATAACCCATCGAAACAAAATTTAAGACAATTTACTGATCATAAAAATGTACTTTGTGCAAATTTGTATTTCAGACTTTTGAGGACCCAGCTGAATAAAATGCATGTTGCACGGGTGATGTATGGCCTGAGCGGAAGAATTTTCAGCGTGGACTGCCTCAGACTGAGATAAGACATCAACAAAATGAAAACACTCGTTTTATAACAAGTCCCAGCTTGCAAAAATAAAATAAAAATCCTCTTCAGATTCTTTTAAACTGGATGGGTTAAGTTCACTCTTGAACATCCACCAAAATCAATACTTTCTTCAATAACCACAGTGACAGCTTCCTATTGTGGGCAACTTAAAAAAAAAGGCCTGTGCTCCAGTGTGTCATTGTTGTGCTGCTGTTAGAAATTAACAGTGGACGTGGCTGGAAGGAATAGAAGCAATAGATCCTGTAAATATAATAAATTAGCTTTTCTTTTTGTTACTGTATGACGCTGACAATTCTTTCAAGATGTTCTGTATTTATTACTGTACTGTGTTTAATCAGTCTAGCCAAATAGTATATATATACAGCACAACCCAAAGAAGACAGTGAGCTGCTATTTTAACCCTCCAATTTTGTCCACCAATTTTCCAGAGATGTATTAACAGTGAGGGTTAGGTTAGAATCTTTGGTCACCTCTCGTTTCATTATAGTTTGTATTCAAGATGCCAGACTTTCTTGTATTTTCTCAAAGTGTTCTTGCACAACAGTTCAAAGTTGGCATATTTCAGCATGCTGTGCACTGCATCCTTACAAAATCTGAGGCAATGAGAAGAGTAAAGAGCAAAGGAAAAGGTTGCTTATCTACACCAGATGAACAGGATCTGAAAGTGATGTCCTTAAGAAATAGGAAAAAAAAAAAATCAGAGATTTATCTGAAATCTGAAAAAGTTTCACTGAATGGGTGGCTGTCAAGAAGCCATTCTTACAACCTGTAAAACACAGTGGAGGCTCTGTCACGGTTTGGGGATGCCTTCCATCCAGTGGTTTTGCAGATCTTATCAAAATGTATTAAATTATGAATGCAGAAAAGTACCATCAGATTTTGAACCCCCATGCAAAACCAGGGTAAAAGTATCTGATCCATCATATATTGGCCTTCCCAGAGCCCAGATCATTATGAAATAGTTTGGCATATTCTTTTTCCAGATAATGGAACAAAAGGCCTGGAGAATTCTGGAGAAGGTTTCCTGAAGACCACTGTGGGAATAGTGGACAAGATGTGCACAGAACTATATCTACTGCTTTATAAAGAAGTTTTACCTCTTTGCATACCCAAATGGGATTCATACAACACAAGTGCTGTTCACTGGTGAGTGAGTGGATGTTAAGGCTACTATCAAAACTGAGAAAAGAAGATGAAAGAGTGGATAATGGGATACTGAAGACCGGTGGAATTTCAGTGACAGAGAAAAAGCCTCTGTGACTTTCCTTCTGTTATAACATGGTCATGTCATGTTTCATTTCCTGATACATGTGATTTTCCACACTGAATAAATGAGGAAATGTTAAGACACAGCTCACCATCTGATTGGGTGGTGACACTGACGGCATCTGAGGCAGTCCCTGGTCCATAGCGATTGATGCCCAAAACTCGAACTGTGTACTCTGTGAACTTGTTGAGTCCCTCCATCTTGTAGTTTTGTCCATTCACCTCCACACTCTGAACACAAACACAGAGTATTGATTACATTCAACAAACAACCGAATAAGGTCAAATGAACTCCAAAACAATGACTCAGACTATCTAAAGCATCATAATCCATTGGTGATGGAGCTCACCTGCTCCTTGCCCGACGGGCTCTCGGTCCACAGCAGCCTGTAGCCCAGGATGGGGCCGTTCGGAAAGCTGGGTGGCTCCCAGCTAACCTGAACGGAGGTTGGAGAAAGAGCCAACGCTCGGAGAGACTCCACCTTGCTGGGAACTTGGACTGAAGGCACACACAAACACTTCTGTTACCAGTGCTGCTACTTTTAGACATGTGTTACCTTTACTGCAGGGACAGCATGATCTGATTTTCATGAGAGTCAAGAGGATAGCTAGCTATCATTTTATAATAAAGACCTATTTCACTCCAGTATCACTAAATTTAAGCATAGACAGGTTTAATGTCTTAAGAAAAAAAAAAAAGATAATATACTGACCGGAAAATCAGATGCATTTTTAATGATTTGACATTTCGATTTACAATAGCTTAGACAACCCGCTGAGTGAGCCTGCTATAGTAACATCTGGCCTATATAACTTGGACATTATTCAAGGCCAAATGTGGGCCACATCTGGGCCAGACATTCCTTGTTTTCCACCTGAGTGAGATCACGAGAAAAGAGGTGTAAGGAACCAACAACAGCCATGGATCCATCCATGCATCACAGCAAGTCTGGGTCTTTCTACCTATTTTCTCCTTCTGCTATTGGCTAACAGAGAACTCCATAGCTTGATGTTGGTCTTGACAGTCTGCCTCACTGAGCTCAATTGTAGTCTGACCCAAAATATGAAATAATGTGCAAAAAGAAAAAGAAGTTTTATACAGATGACTGAGCGTGTGTGTTTGTGTGTGATGGAGTGTTTGTGTCTTACGATCAGGTTTTGTGGTGATCTTGAGGGGGGCGGAGCTCTCTCCTGGCCCAACATCGTTATACGCGACAACTCTGAAGCTGTAGCTCTCCTCCGGCTTCAGGTTGGAAACTGTCAGCTCCAGAGACTCCGGCTCTGACACGTTCACTGACCTCTCCCTAACATGGAAAAAAGCACCATGGATTAACTGCTAATTACAGGAAAAACAAGAAAAGAAAGGAAAAAGAACCAACTGTCTTTTCCTGAAAGTAATTGTAATTACATATAACAACTACATCCTTTTTTTTTATTTAGGGTTTTATTTAAATAGAGGTAAACTGGGAGGTAATCCCAGTCCATCTCCACTTTGTAACAGCACAGATAATCTCCCCTGTAATCAGCTGCAATCTGTGTAATCCCTCACTGTCTGCTGCTAATCCTCAGATTACAGCACCTCTGCAGCCTCGCAGTTCTCAACTAATCGCCAGACCACAGATGAGACGAACCCAGATGCAATGATTAGCATGTTTCCACAGTAACATCAAACACACACACACTGGGGCGTCAGTTCACTGTAAGGAAAACATGCTGTTGCATTTTTAAATAAAGAATACTGAAAATATTCCTGGAGATAAAACATAAAAGGAAACTTTATGTTGGCAGGATTTTGCTTCCTTTTGATGAAAACAGATAAAACATCCCTGCACTGATGTTCACTGCATGCCAAATCTTGACTTCACCACTGAGAAGCACAAAAGAACTTTGTAACTCATCCTTAATTCAGACAGAAGGGAAATGGGATCTGCTCAGATATGTACTGTAAATAAATTACTGTAGCCGGGGATGGTGTGAAAGGTTTTAAATAAGCAGTAATGAATTCAGTGCAATTACAAGCTCATCATTAGTTCAATGTGCATGTCGGGGCGATCGTGGCTCAAGAGTTGGGAGTTCGCCTTGTAATCGGAAGGTTGCCGGTTCAAGCCCCGGCTTGGACAGTCTTGGTTGTTGTGTCCTTGGGCAAGACACTTCACCGGTTGCCTACTGGTGGTGGTCAGAGGGCCCGGTGGCGCCAGTGTCCGGCAGCCTCGCCTCTGTCAGTGCGCCCCAGGGTGGCTGTGGTGCCATCACCAGTGTGTGAATGTGCGTGTGAATGGGTGGATGACTGGATATATAAAGCGCTTTGGGGTCCTTAGGGACTAGTAAAGCGCTATATAAATACAGGCCATTTACCATTTACAGGCCATGTCTGTTCAGCTCATTTCAAGAAGGTTTAACATAACGAAAGACTCTCGCAGTCATAGCTTAGAGTTGTGGGACAAATACAAATGAACTTCATGTCTGTTAACTGTAGATTTGCAACAGGGCTCTGTTAGCCTACCTTAACGTAAGACACCGTAAAGTGTCAGCTTGTTGCTTTTAGAGGGAAATTTTCAATGGCAAACAATCCACTTGTAAAGTCATTTTCCAGGCCCAAAATCTTTGCTACTTCCCTAAATTAAAAAACACTGAGGCACAGTTTCAGTTGCTTTTAGCTTTAAGTTTTAGCCGGGATGCAACAATCAGTCAAATTGTCTCTTCCTGAGCTACCCATTTCCAATACTGTTTTACATCATATTTTCCCCAGTGAAACACTGCAAATGAGTGAGTAAAACCTTCAGAGAATTGTCTTACACCCACCTCTCAAAGTTAAAAGCAGTTTTCCAGCCTCTATTATATGTTTTTTCTTTTCTCTGTGGCAATTTCCATCATATTCCACTCAGGTCTGCAAATTTATAACAGTGACTTTGTGGTGACTTGTAAGTTTTTCTTCCACTGGACGTAGTATGGTGTCAGCAGCTACATACGGTGACAAGTTGAACTTGAGCTTTAATGCCATACTTCCCTTTTTTCCTTTACAGCAGCTGGATAAAACCTGTAGTTTAGAAAACTGTCTATCCTGCAGCTTAGTCTTTTAAATACTAGAGAGGATTTAAATTTGTCTCAATATGTACAAAATGCAGAGCAGTCACAAGTAAAATGTGTCTGTAGTTCTTTATAACTCCTACAAACTGCACCGTGTGTGTGCAGATTTAAAAAAATAGATATAATATGTTCATTTATAAGCATTTCGGCTGTATTTTAAAATTACAGGAAAAGAACACTTAGCTGTTTCACACTTCTCATTACAAAACCACGGATCAATCAGTTCAAAAGGTGAGAACACATTTCTTCTTTTGTTTGTTGTACAAGCCTGACACAAACGTGTCTCATTCCCTGCTTGTCTGTTAAAAATGGCACTAGACTCACATTTAAATGTGGATTAAACTAATGTGTCAGGTTATTGTTGTTAAACCTAACATGTTAGACAACTACAGGCAGTGTTTAGGGCTTAAATCTAACCAGCAAATGGAAAAGAAAAGAAAAACCACAGACAAACAAATGGTACATAAATCTCAGTCTTCTGGCTGATAATCAGAAATGGGGGTCTCCAGTTTAATGGCAGTGGCTGGAGCTGTATGAGTCAACTTCATTTATACACAGACAGACGACAAAAAATAGGACTTCCTGGTAAGTTATAAAAATCTGTTACTGTTACTTGATTTCATTTACTTCTTGTACTGCTGTTGGCTAATATGGGTGGATATAAAGCAGTTCAGCAACAGCAATCATGTGAAAAACTAACCCCTTTCAGCCACCTTTTTGTCTTACAGCAGGGTCCAGGTACTGACTCTTAAGGACACCTTATCAGCAGCATCTCCTGTCAGATGCAGAAGCAGTATTCTGTTATTGTAGTTGAATTGGCTTTGTTCATTTCACTTCAGCTTTTATTGTTAAGGGCCATGTGGCAGAGGCAAGATTGAGGCTAATCATGTGTATTACGATGGGATTTTTGACAAAATGAGCAACCTTGATGATGAATGCAATTGGGAGAATGCATGGGGGAAAGCAATAAGCCTCCTAAACCAAACGACCACCAACCTTTAACTTTCCACCACAGCTATAGTTTTGCTATTTGAGTAAAGTGAATTGGACTGAGTGTAACAATTTAACTGGTGTTCTAAAGACATTAAGTTTATAAGGGTTGTTTTTTAACTGGTTGTTGAGCCTTTACTGCTTTTTGATAAGGATGAACCCTAACTCTAAAGGGTAAAATGGACATATTACTACCTTTAAAGTTTGTCAGAATGTTTTTGTCTTTGCTCACTGACTGTCATTTCTTTTGAGGACAATATAATAAAAACATCAATTATATATTGATATAATTGATCGGCCAGAGGGGCCGATGGCGCGATATGGCAGCCTCGCTTCTATCAGTCTGCCCCAGGGCAGCTGTGGCTACAACTGTAGCTTGCCTCCACCAGTGTGTGAATGCGAGAGTGAATGAATAGTGGAATTGTAAAGCGCTTTGAGGGTCTCAAAAAGCGCCATATGAATGCAATCCATTATTATTATTTATTCAGATTGCTCAGGGTTGTGTTCAGGGCTGTGTTTAGGGTCATCACGTGGTTAACTACACCATATTTGGGTTTTACTTCAGAATTCCATTCTAAAGGTTCATTTACCAAGATCTTCATGTAATTCCACACACTGCCACTGAGATAGGATTGTTGCATGTGGCAGGTTCAATGACAAAGCGGCCTGCTCATACTATGATTAAAACGGATGTAGCATTTGCTGCGCTTATCCTCTTTAAGCTTCCCACAATTGTTCAATAAACAACTTACACCATGTGCAGTATATCAGCCAATCTGAACGAGGACCTTAGGTGATTTTTTGGGGGGGCAGTTTGTCAAGAGGTTATCAGAATTTATCATCTGCAGACCACAGATGTACACGGTAAATTACATGGCAATCTGACACACTGACACAAATCAAGCGCTATCACCCGCAGCAGCAGTGACACACAAAGGTTAAAGAAAACACAAAAGGTGAGTGGAGTTCTCGGGGTATATAAATCCATGTTTTTTTTTTCCAAGGCTGCCGAGTAAAAAGGCAGCGACACAAAGCTGTATGTGGAGGTAACCAGCAGGCTGGATACAGAGTGAACTCTGTTTGGCCTTGAAAAGGCCACCGTGTGAGGGCAGTAAGTCGGCTCGAACAGGAATAACCCACGGAGAGAGAAAAAAATAGTTCTTCCTCTGCTTACATCTTTACTGAGTCCTTCTCATCTTGCTGGCCTTTCTTGGTCATTTTTTCCCGCTCTCTAAGGATCTCACCTCTTTCTGTTTTTATCTCTCCCTTTCCTTACCCTCCAGAGTTTCTGCTCCACCCTAATCTCATCAGCCTTGGGGTCGCAATATAGCTGCAGTTTAGCAGCAACAACATCGCTCTCAAGTGAGACTAAATTCCACCATGGCACTAAAACCCCACCTGCACTAAACAGGCTTTCTAAATTTATAAATAGCATTATTAATTCACCACCTATTGTCCCATACTGCTGGCACATTTTCACTCTGAGCATTTGGTTTACTCCTTTAACATTACAAACTGCATTTGCAGCTTCAATGTACCTACAATTACAGCATTCAAAAGCTTCACATTAAACTCTAAATAACACACATCAATGCATGTAATTAGAAAATATACTGCTAATGTTAAAAGAAGATTTTGAAAACATCACCATGCAGCAGGCTAGTTCATTTTGCCAAAATTTCCTTGCAACAACTGAAAATGGTGCTCAGTAGTTTATATGGGCTCCATGTGCTCATATGAATGATTGACAAGGGAGGTCCTAATGAAATGATAGATGGTGTCCCGGGGATCTCCTCTCAAAATCGCGACCAAGACACCATTGAGCTCAGACTGCACAGTTTGAGGTGCAACCTGGAGGCATCAAGTGGACTGAAACATAATGTCCCAGAGGTGTTCCATTGGATTTAGGTGGGGGGGGGGCGAGTCGGTGGCATCATTTCTTTCGTCCTCGAGGATCTGCCTGGGTCCTCTTGTCCAATGAGGCCAGATATTGTTGTAAACCAGGAACCACTACACCAGGTAAGGGTCTGACAATGTGTCCAAGGATTTCATCCTGATACCTGGCTGTCAGGGTGTTGTTGCATGTAGAGCTCTGTCCCTCACAGATATGCCTTCCCAGATCCTCAATGACCCACCACCAAACCAGTCATGCTGAACGATGTTACAGGCAGCATTACATCTTCTCGACTGTTTCTCCAGACCCTTTCATGTCTGTCACATGTGCTCA